CAGTTATTCAATCTGGCTGTCAAGCGATTCGTAGATTCCAAGGTAGCAGACCAGCAGCACATTCCATCAACCGACACGACTACACCCCCATCTGAATCATCATACCATTTAAAGATTAGGTCTCTGCCAATGTAGTGAAAGAACGTCTCACAGACCTTAGCTCAAAAATTAAGACCACCATTCAGCCCATCTTCGTCAGCAGAAAACTCAACCAAGACCTTTAAGTTCGAGAAATCAAGCCAGCCACTGTTAACCAACAATGTGTAGTTTATAAATTTCAATGTAACCTGTCTGATGCAGGATATGTTGGTTACACTTGCGGCCACCTCCACAAACGCGTTGATGGACACAAACAAAAATCGTTGTCAATTTGTAAACATTACTTCAGCGAACATAATTCACACTTATCACCTTGTCTTTCAGAACAATTTCACGTACTTATTAATTTCTCCACACAGAAAAAAGTGGTTATTAAGCAATTATGAAGTAGTTTAATGTCCTGTTGTGAATCCAATGCCTGGCTGGATTACAAATAAAAGACTGAGTTTTAATGTGCATTGCTTTGCATTGAGAGTTGTATTTTTCTACTAATAAGTACAGCAATGGCATTGTAAGACTTAAGTATATGTGATACTACATCCACAAGTGTTTAATCTACACTGTCACTGGCCTCAAAGCTTTGGTTGTCCTCACACTGAGCACCATGGAAGAGACCTGTAAATGGATTTGATCTTGTCCAGGATAGTGAAAGTAACAGGACTTTTTGAAATACTTCTTGATATACTTACATGAAATAAGAAAAGTACTCTTAAAATGGGAATTAATTTTAAAGAAGCAATATTCTTAAACTGTTCTTGAAAATAAGAATAATCTCTTCTTGAAGTAAGAGCATTCCTTCTTAAATTAAGGATTTTAATAAGGAATCTCAAAGTAAGAAACTGTTTCTTAAAATAAGAATTATTCTTAAAATAATAAATTTAATTTAACAAAACCAAATTTCTTAACTGGAGATTTGTTTTGAGAAATTTATTTCTTACAATAAGATTTTTCATTTAAGAGTGTTTAGCAGTCGGTTGGACAGGAATTCCCATTTCCAAGGCTGCAAACACATGAGCAACCAGTTCTTGCTTGCTTCTGGAAACTTTCAAGCCCCGTTGATGGCAATAAAGCTTCAGAGCATCAGAATGCCAAGAGTTCACTTAATCGTAAGTTAGAGACTCCTCTGACTCCTCAGAACTCATTGCAGCCGGTCAGAAATTCTTGGCCTGAAATCACGACTTTAAATGTAATTTTTCCCCTCAAAATTATCTGGAAACCATCACTTGAAACTTTAGACATATGTAGTTGATTAGGATTGGTAGTAGATGAATTAAAGACGGAGAAATATGACAAAAGGTAAACAGACGCAAAGCTGAAACGAATATTCAGTAATGGCGGAGATTTGAGAGTTGGTGCTCACTTTTCTGGAGCGCATATCCCATAATGCATTGCCTAAAAACTGGAAGTGGGAAACTCTTGGTGCTTGTATTACAGTAAGCACAAGTTAATTTGAAACTCACACGCGAACGAAGTTCTCTACGGACAGAATCCTTGATTTTAAAAACCTTGTCAATTAATGTCCTGATATGACCGACTTTGCATGACAGAGGTGAGAAACTAAGGTAATTGGTAAGCAGACCCATGAAGGTCTTCTTACGGAAGGTACTAGTGATAACAGAACCATGGTAGGCGTTGTTGATTAGGACATCCAAAAAGGGCAAAACATGATCGATTTCTTTCTCCATTGTGACGCGTATGACAAACGAAGGTGTGTCGGAAATTTTGATATTTTAAATATTTTTCCTATGGCGTCCATTTACGCAATGTCTCGCATATTTTTAGCTGCTTCAGCTTTAGATGTGGATATCTAGACAACCAATCAGAATATTGAAAAAGCCTGACACCATTTTGTTGATTGATGTTTGGTGAGTAAGACTGTGCAGCCATTTTGCTCATGCTGCTTGATCTGATACCTGATAAATTCAATAGAAAGAACCCTTGCTTATTTCACACCTTGCCGGCTCCTGACACTACCTAAAAGAAAAACCCACTTAAATTATATTTTTAAAATTACATTTATTAAGCTTTCTTCTGATGTATAGTTTGTTAGGCTTTTATTGAAACTGGAACGTGAAAGGATTTTTTCCCAAAGGACACCCGCGAAGGTGTGAAGTAACCTTCAAATATTATGTGAGTACCTTTTTAAACTTTACAAACAGTTTTAAACATAACAATACATCTAAGAAACAGAAAACCTTATTCTGAGTTCCCCTATAATTTCTTAAGTTTTTGTATAACTCGTCAGAAACACAGAGAAAACATTTTCTATTTTGTTTACCAAAAGCTATAAGAAAAAGCAAGTTAAGTTACTTGTCTAAGAATGTAAATTTGCTTTGCTCGTACCGCCATTACAGCAACAGCTGGTTGGTTCTCGGTTGTCATCAGATGATGAAAGTACTGACAACTTTTAGCGTGGGCTTTCTTACAGGGTGTTATCTCAATTAGGTTACTGTTTGAACATAAATCCTATATTACAAATATCATTCCTCTCAGCCATAAATTATCTTAACATGTATAATCATTATTTTTGGTGTCCACAATTTCACCATCACAGATGCCTAAAAATGTATGTTGCCAAGACCTCAGAAACTGAATGGTTACCTTTTCCAAGAACTTCCGTGTGGCAGTATGAAAAGTTTCCTCAGGCCGATAGAACCAACTCCCAAAAAGCCACTGATAACAAGAAGAAGATAATGTGTGTATTAATCCCCCTTGATAAGCCTACATGTACAGTAGGTGCTTTTGGGGTAAACAACAACAAATTTGTTTAAAATAAATGATCTTAGACGCTCACTAAGCTTAAATGCAAGTCATGTCAATTACCTTAAACTAATACTAATACCTCTTTAAAAAACGTTTAAAACAGATCTAAAAAAGTAAAATTGTCTCTAAATTTTTGACTGCCTTCTGTGGTCTTCTTCAGAGAATGATGATTTCGTGCGATTCACAGAATTTTAATAAGCTGGGACGTTATTGTTTGTTGCCCCCTAGGGAGGCTGTATCACCCATAAATGTGATAAAAACCATAAATGTAATACCAACCATAAATGTAATAAAAATTACATTCAAAGAGAATGACAAGTTTGTAGCCCCTTGATTTGGAAGTCACAGCCAGTTTATTACATTTATGGTTAAGCCTTATTACATTTATGGTTGTTCAGTTTG